CTAGAGAGCGCATCCCAGAGAAGTGTGCGTTTACAATCTCCAGCGCTTTCGCCTCGACATGCAGCAGAATCCTGGTACTTTGAATCGCAGTCGCAGCAGAGAACAAGCACCACCGACTTTTGTGGGACGCCCTGCTGTTACAAGTTTGCCACCGGGTTTGGAAAGACCTCAAGAATTAAGCCACGCAACCATGATCGCGCAGTTACTCCACGAGCAGAAGGTCCAAAACCGCCTCATGGAACAGCAACTGCAGCTCCTCCAGATGGACAAGTATTCTGACCCCAACGAAATCTTGCCTCTGGTCGATCCGGAATTGAAGTCGATCCTTCTTGAGTGGGCAAATAGTTTCAAAAGTACCTTGCAGCAGAGTTTGACTCAGGATGCACTTCAGCAGAAATACTTGGCCATTGAACGCTCAGGCGAACTTCAGCGTCAGTTTTCTGAAGAGTGCAAAAAGTCTTGGCAATGGCCTCTTGCCTTCAAGGCTCATGCGAGAGAGCTGCAGTCTTGCACAGCTTTATTGGGCGAAGGGGATGTCGACATGTTCGTTGAGGATGCTAACCGTGAAGTTCCATTTGACATCACGCAGGCGTACTTGAATCTTCGCAAACGTCATGCAAGAGAGTGTCAAGATTTCGTGGTTTCGTATCAAAGGCAATGCACTACTTTCTTCGCTTCGCAGGTGAAACCACAAGTTCAGTTGCAAAAGCTGGTCGACACCACTACTGCTTGGATTCACAAGAACCGTACGGTCCTCCCTGAGTATGCCATCGCATCCATTAAACAGCATGTGCGTAACTTTGCAGATCTCACCTTTCGCAAGGAAGTCCCCAAAGCTCGGTCACGCATTGAAAAGGAGCAGGCCAACAAGACCAAACAGGAGCAAGCTCTTCTGGAAGCAGAGTCAGAATTCAGACTCATGGATGTCAATAGGCTCCTGGCCCTGGCAGTGCTAGAATTCTCAGCTCTCCAGTCCGGGAGTGGAGCGGGTAAGAATCACAAGCAGAAGATTTCTCAACATGGAGCGCTCGCTTTCTTTGTCAAGCAGTACCCGGATCTTGCCGACAAATATAACCTCATCATCAAGAAGGCCCGTCCTGACCCAAAACCCTCGAGCGACACTAAACCGTCGACCAGGGCTAGGTCCTCTTCGAGTTCCAAGTCCAAGCGTTCTTCTCAGCGTTCGTCGCGACGACCCTCCAGATCTTCTTCGCGTGCTTCTGCGAAATCCACGTCTACCCCTAAGGGCAAAGGCAAAGGCAAGGGGAAAGGCAAGGGAAAAGATTCTGGACAACTCAAAGGGAAAGGTAAAGGCAAAGGCAAAGGCAAAGACCATCACGCGAAGAACAAGTCAGTGAGCTTCCGGAGCCAAACGCCTGGACGATCCAGGCATTGACTATCTACCTCAAGATCTCGCAGGCGGAGTTTTTGGCGAACTGACTTTTCTATCGATTTTGACGCCTTCATCAGGCACAAGTTGAAACGGCTGAACCTTGTACAGTTGGAACGTCGCTTCAATACACCAGTTCATGTTTGCACTCCGCTTGCCATCCCTGCATGTGTTATGGCCTATTTGTCCAAAGGCGGCAAGTTTGTGGCTGACAAGTACCATAGCTCGGTTCACCAGGTGCTGGATTCTGTCAAACATCTTGAACGTTCACTGTCGACTGCAGTGGCTTTTCAGGACAAGCCCGCCACGCAAAAGCCTTTTTTCGGATGCCATGCCAGAAACCTCAAGTGGCAGCCTCCAGTTTGCAGTGATGTGTCGCTGTATTGCCGGTTGCTTCGTGAAAGTTTGCTTCAATATGAGCCGTTGCCGCGTCGCAAAAATGAGGACCTCGTTGACAGAGCCGCCAAAAGATGGCTTTTAGACCACCAACACGAAGTGGTCGTGGTTGACTCTGACAAAGGTTTAGGGGACGTGGTATTATCTCGCAAGTGGGTTCGCAACAAATGCCTGGCTCTCCTTCGCGAAGCTTCGGTCCCATTCACGTCGGATTCCTACATGGCAGCAACTACAAGCATGAAATTCGAGTTCGATTCAGTCATTACCTTGGCCATGAACGACGGGCACATTCCACAATCAGTGCAGTCATTTCTTCTTGAAGATTTTGGTTCTTCAGTCCCTGAATCCTTCAGGCTTCGAGTGAAAATACACAAAACACCTATGGGCGCGAGACCGGTGATGAACATGTCCAAGTCCTGGTTACGAAACATTGCCTCGTTCTTAGTGGTCGCCTTGCAACCTGTGCTGGTGCATACTTCAAGCGTGGTGCAGTCCAGCTCGAGCTTTGTGGGTGATGCTACAAGCTGGTATGTTCCCGAGGGGTATTTCCCTTGCACCATTGACATCAAGAATCTTTATCCTTCTGTATGTCATCGTCATTTCCTGGAGCAGTTCTCAGCAAGGCTTCGCAAGTTTTGGCCACGGCGTCATGGCTATGTTTCCTTCCTGATTAACTTGACATCTCTATTGCTACGCACCCAATTTGTCAACTTTGAGGGGTCCATTTGGCATGTTGAACAAGGCTTCGCCACAGGACTGCAATGCGGAGTAGTGTTCGCAAACATTTATTTGACTGAATTCGACGACTTCCTCATCAGAACTTGCTCTGACATGGGCTTTCGTGTTTTAGGTTGGCGCAGGTTCATCGATGATGGCTTTTGTTTACTTCCGTTCCACAGCTCTCGGACTCTGATCGGGTTCGCAAATTCTTGGAACACTCAGATCATTTGGGAATTGTCTGGTCATGACGCCGCCGTTCCTTTCCTGGACCTTCAAGTTTCAGTCCAGCAACATCGGCTTCATTTCCAGACCTACCGCAAGCCGCAAAACATTTATGCGTACTTGCCAAGATCTAGTTGCCATCCGCCATCAGTGTTTGAATCCTTGGTGACAGGTGAGACCACTCGCCTTCATCGCACAAATTACCGCAACCCCGCTTCCTTCCACGAGCAAGTGGAGTTCTTCGTTGAAAAGCTTTGCAGACGAGGTTACAACTCTCTTCAAGCAAGAAAGCTGATCGAACGAACTTCGAGGAGGCTTTGCATGAATCAGAAGCGGCCGAGCTCCCGAACAAGGAAGTTCTTCTTCAAACAAACTTTCTCTTCGACCCTCAACGTGAAGGTCATCAAGAAATCTTTGAAGAAAAACTGGCATCTCATTCAAGGTTTGTTCCGTTCCCCTGTGGATGTCATGATGTGCTACAAGATCCAGCCGAACGTTTTCCGAAGAAACTTTGCCACCAACTGGGTGTATAAACCATCCAGTGCCAGAGCAGGGTGAGGTGGGAGGGCTCTGGTTTTTAAAAACCCTCTTCTGCTAGT